CACCTCAACCTTAGGGCTTCCTGGTAGCAGACGTTCTGCTTCTCGCGATAAAGGACTCCCTGTTGTTTCATAGCAATATATTCACTTTGATGGACAGCGTTACCAAACTGAGACTGGGAGAAAGTACGTTGTGCAATCGTTGAGATAAAGAGGAGATAAGAGAAACAGATCAAAACTGACAGACAGAAGATTGAGGGTACTTAAGGAGGTTCCTACGACCTCCCTCGAAGGAACGATGTGGTACTTCTGAAAATACCATGGTATGATTTTAGATACATACATTTTCGAGCTAGTCTCATGTGCAAGAATCATTTGGGTCTTCAAAGAACATTAAACAAAGTATCATTGCAGATCGGACATTGTTTAAACCAACTGTGAGAAAAAGTGAAGGTGGTTTCAAATTTTAACCCGTCATCTCCTCAATAGAACTACTTAATCAGTGTACTCCATGGAACTACTAGACCAGTGCACTCCATTGAACTACAATAATAGTGTACTCCATGGAACTTCTAGACCAGTGTACTCCATGGAACTACTAGACCAGTGTACTCCATGGAACTTCTAGACCAGTGTACTCCATGGAACTTCTAGACCAGTGTACTCCATGGAACTACTAGACCAGTGTACTCCATGGAACTACTGGACCAGTGTACTCCATGGAACTACTAGACCAGTGTACTCCATGGAACTTCTAGACCAGTGTACTCCATGGAACTACTAGACCAGTGTACTCCATGGAACTACTAGACCAGTGTACTCCATGGAACTACTAGACCAATGTACTCCATGGAACTACCATAGTGTACTCCATTGGGCTACTAGACCAGTGTACTCCATGGAACTACTAGACCAGTGTACTCCATGGAACTACTAGACCAGTGTACTCCATGGAACTACTAGACCAGTGTACTCCATGGAACTTCTAGACCAGTGTACTCCATGGAACTACTAGACCAGTGTACTCCATGGAACTACTAGACCAGTGTACTCCATGGAACTACTAGACCAATGTACTCCATGGAACTACTATAGTGTACTCCATTGGGCTACTAGACCAGTGTACTCCATGGAACTACTAGACCAGTGTACTCCATGGAACTACTATAGTGTACTCCATGGAACTACTAGACCAGTGTACTACTACATGGAACTGCTATAGTGTACTCCATGGAACTACTAGACCAGTGTACTCCATGGAACTACTATAGTGTACTCCATGGAACTACTAGACCAGTGTACTCCATGGAACTACTATAGTGTACTCCATGGAACTACTAGACCAGTGTACTCCATGGAACTACTATAGTGTACTCCATGGAACTACTAGACCAGTGTACTACTACATGGAACTGCTATAGTGTACTCCATGGAACTACTAGACCAGTGTACTCCATGGAACTACTATAGTGTACTCCATGGAACTACTATAGTGTACTCCATGGAACTACTATAGTGTACTCCATGGAACTACTAGACCAGTGTACTCCATGGAACTACTATAGTGTACTCCATGGAACTACTAGACCAGTGTACTACTACATGGAACTGCTATAGTGTACTCCATGTTTTGCCCCGTGGGTGTGAACGTGAACCCCGCTGAGTAGCGGCTGATGGTCGATAGGCAAATCGCACGTTATTGTTTATAGGCGAGATAACGTTTAGGTCCGTTTAGCACTGAGGTGTCGTTAAGTGGATTTAGACTGTGTATTTCATGTTGCACAGTCACTGAGTGCAGTTACGTGGAATATACTTGCTAACATCTTCATTGCAGCTTTTGGAGTTTAAAATGGAAACGACTGTATTTACCTGTGTTTATCACAAATGTTAAGTGTTAAATGACATTTGCAAAATCTAGTTTGAATGTGTAGTAAAATGTCGTTATCTATCTTGTGAAAATTAAGGCCGCCAAATTGAAAACATGTTCACAGTATATCTTTTTTCCTTTCTTTTCAACTGTCCTCTTATTGCTTTTCATAGGTCAAATAAAACCGTTAAAAACTCCCGATAATCAGTACATTGTCTTACTATCAGTCTACTATTTGTCTAACTATTAGCCTCATTCAATAATTTACCATCTAAATATCAAGTTTCTTTTTAAGACATTGCTAAAATTCAAAATATCCATTGTTATAAAAAGAGATTTCGCAAAGTTGTTTGCAGTTAAAAATATAAAATTACTTTTTCCATTGCAGTTTATGTTTTAACTATCTTCTTGCCGCTGCCAAAGAGAGTTTTATGAACAGTTATGACAGAATTTTCAAAAAACTTTACTTAAAGGTGCTTTGTTCCACATTTGTCTCCATAACATCAAACCTATCTGGGGAACTGTAATCTTTAACCTCTATTCAGTATGTGGCTACGAATATTTAAGTATTTGACTTAAGGAATGTAAATATTTGGAAAATATATTATGTAAACGGACTATACACTTTCCAAATACTGTGCTATCTCTGAATAAATTAAATAAAAATTAATAACAAAACTAAAAATACCATTAGATTCGATAATGCCTGAGAACGTCGAGGTAGAGTTAAGGCCCGCTATAGACTCAGGTCCAAGCACCACATTACCATCTCTATGCCACTCATATTTAACTCTCCTTGCGTCTGTCACTGCCTCTTTGATCGTCCACAATGAATAATTTATCACTTGATTGTCATGATAATACGCCTAAAGGCCACTCTGGCAAATACTTGATGTCCGGCCTCTTGTTCTGACCAGCGCCGTGTTTTGATAGGCACTCGAATAGCCTAATGCAACTGTAGGGAACTATTTTATATCTGGTCAAATATGTGAAGGCGTTAAAAAAAAAGATATATTTTAGACAGATTACCATGTTATGTAGTTTTATGAGGTAAGGTGAGAGTTTAAACGTCTAAATTCTGTTAGTAACTTATGTTTCCATGTTTCGCATTTCGAAGCCAAACTGTTTAAAGCTTATTTTACGATGTACAGTTTGTTCTTGTATTGACTTGTTGTTTGTAAGTATTGTTGTTCAAAATCTTACTAATATTATAAATGTGAAAGTTTGTGTGTTTGTTTGTTTGTTTGTTTGTTTGAAGGTCAATCACGCTTTAACCACTGGATGGATTGGGCTGAAATTTGGCATGATGATAGCTCATATTCCTGATTAACATATAGGCATATTCTTATCTCAAAAATCCTTTCGGGCTCCGCCCCAGTGGCTCTGTAGTTTCCCATATTAACTTTATGAGTATTCATATTTAAAGGGAATTAAAGAATTTAGTCAGCTATTTCAACTAAAAAAGTTGGTTCTATGATATGCAAAAGTATTAAAAAGTTATAAGATTTACCAACAGGGTGCAGCACTATTATTTTTGGCGTTTAAGAAATCATCTAATTTGAACCAAGCAGCAACAAAAAACTGTGATAGGCAATGGAGAACTGTCAAAGTAGGATTTTTTACAGTTATGTTCATGTTTTTAATTGCATGACAAATTTAAAGAAGCAAATTTTATCAAACTGTATTCTCCCCCATTGCAAACGCTAAGTTGGAGTATATAACTGCAATAAGCATTTTACACTTATATGCCAACCCCGTACGAAGGACGGGTACTCTGCTAGTATAAAATAATAATGAAAATTGTTATTTCTCGGTGTTTTCTCTATCGGTATTGACTACCTTTCATCAAGCATTTATAGTTTAGATAGATCCTCTTTTAGTCAAATACGCTACCTACTTAAAAGGTGATTTTTTTAAAACTGAAAGTATTCTTAAACAAACTCCTTACACAAAATAGGGTAATTACTTCAAATATTTCAATCGCACGTTAACCTAAAGAATAGTGTCACAATCAAACCAAGCAGACAGAAAACAATACAATATTCTGAACCCATTGTAATTGTAACCATAGACAAATAGAATTTGTCTATGTTGTAACTCAAACCTACACTCATGTCCTTCCAAAATAGCAAGAAACTACACATTTCAATTCATTTTACAAACACAAAAACTATTTTCAAAATTCAAAACACGAAGATTCCAGTCACGTTCCCACAACGATTAGAACAGCAAATAAACAGTGTAATCAAACAGGCAGAAACAATCTAACAATGTTCCGATTGGCCTATTCATCAGCAGCAGCATTATTAACGAGAACGGCGTCCGTCACAAATCACAAGTGATGTGCGGCTAAGTGATGCCCGATTGTGCGACAATCTCACGTCAATCACTTGATTAACATTCAACGTCTGCTACGCTAATTACGCAGCCTGCATTCTACAAGCGTTATTCAGTGTTAATGCCGCGTTAACTGAGTTAATGCGACGATTAACTAATAACTGCATCTGCAGGGCGCGCTGGCGGGTAGTTTTGATCCGCTTGTGCTATCTGAGAAGAAAGGCTGTGGTTGGATGTGATTTTTGAGTGTTTCGCTTGATAAGAAGTATGAAATTTTGTGGGAAGAACCATGATTGGATGGAGGGTGTAAACACTATACAAATTATAATAATAAAAATATGTTTGGGGGAGATTTTCGTACAAAAATTGAAACACTTTTATTATTGAATGGTGATGTGTTTCCTTTCGTATGTTTGGTTGAAAATAATTTTATGTTTAATATCATCAGGAAAAGATTTATTAGTGTTGTAATATGTGTTTGAACTTCGGTGACGTGTTAACATACTCCTGGGATTTGAGGCAGATGCATTTTCTTTGAGGCTTAAAAATACAGATGTAAATTGGCCATACAAATATTTTCTCGCAGATTCGAATCACATTGGACATCATAGATAATGAAAGTGATCTTTCAAAGTAGTTGTGATGTATCGGTAAACAAGGAGCAGAATTTGTAGGATTTTTCCCACTTCGATGGTTCTAGAGAATAAGGTCGTTTTCAAAGGGAAAAAATATGCAATACAAGAAACCAAGAAGAAACCGCGCTGGAATATTTTTTACTAACTGTTCCTACAATGTAACTAGAATATTGCTGTATGTATATGGAACATAGCTTTACGATTGACTAATTATTTTTTTCCAGGCGCTGAGCGGATTCCTAATGATGATGACCCAAAACGGAAAGTTGCTGTACATTTCTGACAACGCCGCCGAATACTTAGGCCACTCAATGGTGAGTTTAATCTTAATACATGTCATTATCACATTATCATAAGTGTTGGGACTACAGGCTACACTAAGTATTATTAGTAGCCATGAAACCATAAATCATATTTTTATACATAATAACTATTTACATTACCTCGGAAAGTCGTAAAACAAAGTTACTACAATATCATCGGCCAGCAATGGCTATTATTGGCTATTAGCCCACTAATAGGTTGTCTGTATTAGGTTAAGAACATGGTATTAAACTTGAACGAAGGATTATGGATGTCTGACCAAATGACATAGTATATGAAAGGAGAATGGTTAAGTATACCGTATTACGATTTTTTGGAGCGTGCTAAACTGAGGGATAAAAGTGTTTTAATTTGTATGGAACCAGGTGTTCCTGTATTTTTATCGTACCTATAGTTTTCATGCAATGAAGCTTTTTAAGGATTTGAACTTTACTGACTAACGTATGTAAAAGAAAATTTAATAGAAAACCTGTTATCATTCGTATAGTTTTTTTTTTTATATTAAAAGTGACACTGATGATTTTCATCACGAAGGTACGATAAAAGTGGAATTGTTCTATTCGCAGCAGCATAGGTGGGCGTACATTAAAAGTAAAATAATATGGGTTTACACCAATGAAGATATTTTAAATGATTGAATTCTACTGAAATAATTGGTTGAAGTAGACAAACCCATAGAGAAAATTAGTTGGCATTGCTTGTTCCAGTGTAGAAACCCAGGACAAACACAAAAACTAATATGAAAATGTAAAAAAATAATCGCTTTAAAAATTACAATTACACATTACGAATTCGGCATTGACATTTGTTTAGTAATGTAATTTCATAATGTTAGCGTTTTCTGCCTGGTTCCTGGTCCACAAAATAACAATTGAAGCAAAAAATTCCACAACAACTTAAATTAATATACTTGAACATAATTCAAAACCAGATTTGATAGTTCCTCACCATCCAACCTCGTTCCCATGTCCAAAACCCAACAGGTCAATTGACCAGATTATAATTTTAACTACCCATAATCCCCTCCAAGGGTTCCTGACAAATGAGACACTCCGTGTTACCCTCGGATTAATTAACAGGAGATGGCTCTAGAATCTTATGGTGACTGAGAAGACATTTAGGTTAGGAAGATTTTTTTGTTTTAACTCACTAAAAACCTTATTTAGAAGTCTATTTATCTTTGTGGTCGGTACAATACGTAAGTATCCAAAAGGTCGACAAAAAACTAAATGCATATACAGTACTTAACACTCAAAACTGGATAGGCCCTCACCACCCAACCTAGCTAGTCCCCATGTCCAAAACCCAACAGGTCAATTGACCTTATAATTTAAATTACCCAGAGTCCTCTTCGAGGGTTCCTGACAAATGAGACGTGCCGTGTTACCCTCGGATTAATTAGAAGCAGAAGATGACTCCAGAAGCTTGTGGTGACTGATAAGACACTTAGACCCTTTGTACGCGCTGAATGAAGAAATCAACGTTGAATGTGGAAGCCCAGCGAGCCCTAATCCAACGCATTGTGGCAAACTGCAAGTCACCTGCGCTGATGGTCAAATCATATTACAATAACAAAAACTGATGTGATTTGTGAAGCCGCTGCCATAACGAATCTGGCGCTACCGTCTGTCTGGCTGTCAGCTGATAACACCCGCCTAAACGACTCCTTTGTGGCGGGAAACTCGGGTTGAGGTTGACGCTGGGGTTAGTCGATAATTTCTTTCTCTGGTAATTGTAGGTTCAGGATGATGAGAGGCTGTGTTTATGGTAGTTTCTCTTCAAGTAAAGTTTTCTAATTGTTTAGAGAATCCTTAAGGTAGTGTAGTACTTCTTCAAGAGATGACAGCTTCTAAAAGTCTGCTTATTGACTTTATTATATAAGCCTTGCTTAACACGTTTTACAGATTTTCTATAACACAATACGATGATAATAAATTACACATTGTGATCCATATTTCACTGCATCCACCGAAGCGTATCCTAAAACCTCTCGCAGAACTAGACGGAAACAAATTTCATAGAAAGTAGGGAAAGCAAATCCAAGGTGAGTCGGAGCTTGTCGTTTATAATGATATAATTGTATCCCCAGGGGGGCGGAGTCCGGGATTGCCTGTCGCTCACCGCTCGACGGACTTTGGTGAAAAGTTGTTCAATTTCGGTGCCGCCGCGATAATATAAATCACACTCAGCATAGTAACGCATCGTCGGTTATGGATAGCTATATCAATACCCGCCAGAACTGGAGCGGTTCCCACCAAAACGACGGAGGCGGCGGCGATGATGTATTGGCGGGACGCCCCCGCTGTTTACATTGTAGTACACGAGTCGTAGTAGAGGTAGTAGAGGTGGTAGATGTAGTAGTGTCGGTGCCACCTTCACACTACCTTCACCTCTTGTAACACTTCTCACGGTCTCGTCTACGATACGTCCGAGTCTTGGCTATTGGCAGTCAGGGTGTCATTGGTTTTACATGTATAATAAGTCACATATTTAATAAGTTTACGAGCTGGAAGGAAAAAAATCAATGCTTATTTGAGGTCAAAATTGTAATTAATATGGGTCGAGCAATATAGATGTGTGTCACTACACTTACTGTAGATTCAAATCTTGATTATGGGACAGTCAGGGTGTATGTATTTACCATATTTTTCTTGAATCCATGGGCTGATTTATCGACCCAAGGGAAAAATCAAATCGTCCTTCTTAATTTGTAATTGGTATTATTACCAGGCTGATTTAAAAGAAAAATACTTTTTTTGTAATTTTTGTTAGTTAATTTATATTAATTTTTTATGTGTGTAATCATGTCACAATTTTCAATGTCACTTCTGGGAACCAATAATAATAATTATGTAAACGTGTTTGTGGCAATAAACGACTTATGACTTATGGCTATTCATACATGTATGTATTGTCTTTGATACATTAACTGTCAAAATGAGTTATTGTATACGGAACAGTCAGAATGGCTATGACAAACTCAGGGGTTCATTGGTACAGTTGGGATGACTATGGCCAGATTGAATAGCAAAGGCATACTTAAGGTGTTCATTGGCACTGTAGCATGTCTACATACATACATACACATGCTACTATATATTTAAGACCATGAACTTTACATAAACTTATTAATCCATCTCGAGAAAACTTTCAACCTTTCAGCAATCAACCATCAACCTCCTCAGGCTTTTACAATTAGACGAATCTTTGACCTGCTCTATTCAAGTTCAATGGTTTGCCACATGCTTGTTTTTCTTTGTTTGTTTGTAACTCTCCAAATAATTCGCCAACTGCTAAGCAGAGCCTGGAGATTGACGTTGAAAGTATCTGTAATCTCCAGTCCACACCGGTGGTCCTCCGAAATGCACTTAGCGTCATCTCTTGCGACAAGCTGGCGCAATTCGGCACTTCTAATGCGACAATTGATCCCCTGATGCCAATTGAAGTTGGTAAAGTGGTCTTCAACGCTAATCCAATCAAACGCGACTCCTTGACGGGTTCATGCGGGATTTGATCATATCGGACTTGTCGAAAATAATCCGTTTTTGAGAAACCGAGTTTTGGCAATGACTTCTGCTTTCGTACTGCAATCGAGAATTACATTTAGAGAGATCACGATATATTTGGATATTTATTCCTACAAATAAATAAGGCTGTTGTCTTTATTGTGATTAGCCTACTCCCAATTGTTAAAGAATGTCATAACTGCTCTAGATTTTTAAATTACGAGTAAAACATAATTGAAATAGAAATGGAGTAAGTTATTAAGCGTTATTGTTTCGTCAACTTCCCTTTGGTAAATCATTGTGAAGAACCGCTGGTATAGTTATAGTTAATGTTTGACTGATATTATTCTATTTTACTCCTTGTGTACGATTAAGTAATAATGTGACTATTAATTAATCCAATGATTAAGATTATAATTATACATTATTTTGGAGAGTATTCTTGTTCAATAAGAATTAAAACTCTTGAATATTTTAGTTTTTGAAACATTTAAGGGAGCAAAATATGTTGGAATGTGTCATGCCAGTTTCCTTTGGTATTTAAATTCATCATAAATCCATTTACAAAAATTTGTCATTAAACACGAATCGTATTAACCCACCGTTGAAATCTCCAGATACATTAAATATTTGCCTATGGATATAGCTGATCATCCTACCCCTAGTTTTACAATAAAAATAAACTTAGTTTAGTTGAGTCACCAATAGAGGTCGCTGACAACATTTACTTATTTCTTTTGAATAAGTCAACGTTTTAACTAAGCCAATATGAAAGGACATTGTATTGTAAAGTATGACATTTAGGTTACACCAACCATCACAATAGCCAAGATATTGGGAGAAAGTACAAGGCTGAATAATATTATTTTTAAATAGAAAAATTGGTTACAGCTGGTCAATGAATGAATCTATTTAAGTATCTGAAATTCAATGGTAGTGTCAAATGTGTTAGTATGTTAACTAATTAAAAACCCGTATAAAATTCTTCAATGAACACGTCAGTAAAATCGTGGAACATCCAACGTTTGCCTATTTTTTTACATTCAATCAATAATACTAAATCTCACTACACTATTTCCTAACTACTAAACTGAGGTTATGGCGGAGCGAGCTGGTCTAGGAGTTAAAATGCGGGACTTCGGTCCCTGAGGACCCGGGTTCAAATCCTGCCAAGTCACCAATGAATTTTATCTTGATAATGCCGCAACCCCTAGTTCTAGCCTGAAGTAATGTGAAAAACAATTCCGGGCTCGTGCCAAGCGTCCTAGGACAAAAAAACTGCGGTAAATCTACTTTCCCGATACTTCTACTGGCTAGTATCACTATAGACCCCGGCCGCCACCCACGCCGATCTCTTATTTATTGTCATTTATTGGCGTATCTTCGCCGGAATCGATTCCAAGGTCGTCACAGCGGTTCGCTTCCCTCGATATATTCGCTCTCTCTCATCGTACTGGTATTGTACTCGCCAGAGCCATTGTGACAATTATGCATGCAAGTACAAATGCACAACTTAGTAGAAAACTTCGCATGTCAATTGGTAATTTTCAATGGTTTCGTAATTGTGACTAATTTTAAATCAATTCAAGTATAGTTTCTTAAATGTAAAAAGATTTATTTGTAATTACAGTCTTGGCTATCTATATACATTCATGGACAGTATAATTCAGGAAAAAATTTGAATTTTAAGATTCGCAAAGATTACTTACATTTACCTATCACTCTTTACAGTCTTACAATGCCAAAAAAGGATTTAATCACATTCAAATCCAAACGCAATTATATTTCAAAACTGACTCAATGTAATCAAAAAGTTAAAGGTACGTCTTCAAATTATCTTCAAATCATTTTTCGGGTTAGGTTATCTTAGATTAGGTTAGGTTAGCTAGAATCAAGACATGATGAAAAAATTCAACTGTTTATTGTTACTTGCAAACCTCGAATATACAAATTATGAAGGGGACTTAAACTAACTGAAAAGGTGGGTACCTTCTGCAATAAATGAGAAAGAAGCATCGAAACCGTACTTCAGTCTTATTTCAGCACCAACTTTGTATTCAAAAAGTGAAAGGTGGTGTTGAAGCGGAGGCAAAAATCGCAACATCGCAAAATCGCACTGCATTACACATGGCCTTCACCTGTGACGTAACGGGGTCGTAATTCAATCAGCTGAGCTGTGACCGATGGCTAACTACTCTATGTCTCTATCTACCCACGCCAGCGCTGACCATTACTGTTAAACACCGCGATTCCAGCAACGCCGCTCGATTTCACACTTTCCGATCGCAAATGTTTTCAACATGGAACAACGTGCTGCCCGGGAATGAAAATAAGTTTAAATTACAGACCCATGTCGCTAACGCCCTCGTTTAGTAGCATTGATAATCCTAGTGAGTGTTAAGCTGCGGCTGAACGTAATGTTGATGAAACTAACCCATGAAAGGTAACGATCGCGGTTGCATCGGTAATGTTGGCTAAACTGAGTGATTATATTTGGAGCGGTTGTGGTAATCGAGTTATACCTTTATGTGTCTTGACTTATTGAAAACTTAATGCTCTTTTTCATAGTACAGTGGTATGGAAAATTTTTATTATCTTTCGCCTTAGGAAATGTTTTATAGTAATATTTTACTAGGTGAAAAGCTGATTTTGATTGATTGATTGGATTCCAAGATCGATAGGAGTGGTTTTTGAAAATAAGCTCTACAAAATGTCTTACTTGTTATATAAGAACCATTATTATGATTTTAAAATAAATATTATAACGTTTTATTATCAAATAACTCCATAGTTTTAGTCTCTAGTTGGGGCCAAATGGCCAGTTTCACTGGTCAAAACCACATCTAATTAACAGCAGAATTTATTCAATGTAACAATAGGTTTTTTGTGATCTTAAGGGCATGTAATGAGTTTGAGATTTGAATAGGCTAAAACTATAGCAATAATCATGAATGATTGTTTGTAGATTTTTAATGAACGAGTATCTAATGAACTTGTTTTTTAATTGCACCCAGTTTCTAATAAACAACCATGTGAAAAACAATTCCGGGCTCGTGCCTATAGTGTCCTAGGACCTAAGTAACAACCATCAACCTCATACAGATTTCAAACTGCAATACCTGACCTTATTTTATCAAATAAATAATGTATAAAAAGTAAGGTTTAATCAAATTTATATCACAACCCCACAAAACAAAATTCACTTACAAATAAACAAGGGAATTAATTTACTCTGCACTCTGGGCAAAGACTTTTCTCGTGCAATTACTTGCCTTCTCGCCCCCGAGGTTTCAGTGACTACCTCAGCTGGTATCTGCTATCAGTGACCTGCCTTATCAGTTCCACTTCATGAGGCACAATCGTGTTCTCAGCGTCACCGTTCCTCAGTCTTCGGATCTCAGCCAGGTTATCTTTCTAAATAATCGGACGACTCTCTGTTTCTGCTAAAGTTTGAGTTGCACTTACGTGAAATAGTATGGTATATGCATTGGTTTTTAAGCATGGTCTGGCGTTTCTTCTGATCCATGTTACTTCAGATTACACAATTTTATACGAAATAGAGTGAAAGATGGGTTGTGTATTTTTATTTCACATGTTGGATTAGATTTGTACAATTATTTTTACAATACACGTGATCATTTACTATTATACCATACGGTATAGCTAGCTAGTGAACCGTCGGGTGCCTGTTTGCTCCAGAAGAAAATCAGTAGCTTTTTGATAGTCCAAAACTGAGTCCAGCTGTCTTTGATCATTCACACATCTTCACCTGAATTTATCTGCATCGGGAGTTGTGTAAACTAATCTAATTGATCCGAGGAAACAAAAGTTAAACATTACAGATTTTCAAATTGGATTTAAAATTAACCACCGAAACAAAAAAGTTTTGTTCACGAAGCATGTTAGTGAAGTCATCCCTAATGTAGACGACTTTCCCTTACTTCTTGCGACCTTCTAACTTCTATTACCTATTGAGTCTATATTTACATAGTTCCACACATATTCCATAAAACTCGACGAGTTCAATTAGTAAGCCATAGAATCTGCTAGCTTTCCCAAATGCTCAAGATACTCTCGGCATACTTCCGTGGATGGCGCGGAAACCTCGAGATAAGACGCGGAAGAGCTCGACACAATTACCCCTTCAAGTTGTTGTGGTAATGGCAAACAGCAATTATGAATCGGCGGGAATTCCGTAAAGCCGCTCGTCAGGGAATTGATTAAGGGAATAAAAAGCAGTGATGGGACGGCACAGTGGGCACGTTGCCAGCTGGGCTGCTGGGCTGTCGTAGCATGTCGTAGCGTGTCGTAGCTTGTCAACTCGTTCAACACATGGTACTGGTCGGGCACCAAAGGGGGGATAGTCCTTGAAATTCTTATTTGCAGTTGTGAAATAGCATTATGAAGTTTGGTATGTCAGTTTGGTTGTTAATGTGTTATGTAATTTATTTCACTTACTGCCAAGTGTGTTTGAGAAGGTAGCGGTATTAATATTACACATTACAAATTCACGACTCCAAAAAAGAACACTGGAGTAATAAATTCAAAGGCATGAATGGCTTTGAATAGTTAAAGGTGGGGTATTCCAATATCCGATACACAAATTAGTTAAACCCCGATTTCTTCTTTTGTTTACTACATCTCTTTGGTGATGCATTAGGATGATCATGTGAACTTTGACTGTGCAAGCTGTTGTTTATATCCATAATCCTTACTGCTGGGCAACTAAGTTGTCAAAGTACTCACTTGAGTAATCAGTAGGTTTGGGGCTTAGACCTGGAAAAAGATAGTAGATTTTTGTATAATCTCTCTCTTGCTACACATCTCTAAATCCACATGTGGTGTATTGGACACTACAGTCGGGATCACGAAAGTTTGCAGTCGGCGGCAGCTAATCACAAGACAAGGCTAGTGCGCCGTTGCCATATCGCCCGTTGACGACACTAATTCAACTACTAAACAATATTTTCAAATCAGCTGGTACTATTAGATGTGGCAATACCGCACTGTCCTCATTGGCTCCTTTGAAGTCACGTGGTAAATAGGCTCCTCCCTCAACTGCAAACTTTCGTGGTCCCGACTTTAGTTTTGCACGTTACGGTATATATACATAACCACTTCACTTTCACTATTTTTTTCACTGTCCTTCCTCTGTACTAACTCCTGTGATATCCTCAGGTTGAAACTGATTTAAAGTCTTTTTCCGTTTCCAGGAAGACCTGCTGATCCACGGGGACAGCGTGTACGACATGATCGACAAGCAGGATCACCAGGCGATACAGACGGAGCTGGTGAGGAGCGCCGCGACACACGGCGAAGACAAGAGGATCTTCCTCTGCAGGATGAACGTGTCAAGGAACGCGAGAAGGCAGATGAGGTTCGGCGACCAGAAGGTAAACTTATAAATACCTATACTCCGTATTATGAAACCTGTCTACCATCTGTCTACATGGGGATTGACCAATGGTTTAAAGCTCAGGCCAATCCGAGTAGGAAGATGGCCAGTACAGAAGTTCGATCATACAGACTATAATGTTGTTAGTAGACATCCACGATCATATATATGATTGGATCTTGTCTTCGGAAGATGACCTTATCGTTGAATTTGAGAAAACAGGGGCGAACGTTTGTAGATGGATCACTCTATCTTTGGGGCATACTACTTCAACTGTTGAATTGTTGTTTGCTTCGAAGATGAGCTGCTGATTGATCGTCATTATTTTTGAAAATTCAACGAAACAACCACTTCCCGAAGACATTATCATGGAAATCATCTGCAATCATTACAACGACGTATTTTACATTTATAAATAAATCCGGAATTTAATGTTATGCCACGGACATTGTACTTGGTTTAAAATCTTCTTTTCACTTTGAAGAGGTGAATAGTTGGACCTGAAACTTACAACCTAATGCAAGATCTATTTCACCTTTATATATATTACAGTATATTGTTTTACTGTACTCTGTACTCTAATCTTGGTTTGAAATCTTTCCGATTCGAAAATCCGAGTAGATAGCTCTGAAATTAAAATTCAAACATAGGTCTATATATAATATATTACGTTTGCCGGAAATTTGAAAATTACATAGACCTATCTCGCGTTATACATGTATCTGGAAAACAATGTTTGATGTGGAGTCCGATCTTGTAGTACTGTACAGCTAACGTAAAATACAATAGTAGCTAAGCCCAAGACTCAAAGTACGAATAGGAGAAAAAAACATATTGATGCTTTTCAGAAAACGAGTTTTATTGCAGCAGATTTTAGTTTCATGTCTGGCCTCCAAGAAATGAATGTGCAATGCCCATATAAAATGTTAACTGCAGTCCGTACAATACCCTCATTCTTTACGGCTTAGGATCAATACTTTCAGGTGAATAAGCGATTTTTATTAAACCATAACAAATGGGACTGATACATGATCATTTCCTAAATATTATATCCGTTTTAGCGACCAACTCCCAATGAGGATATTCCACGTTTTCCAAGAATCTATAATTCTGCGTTCAATTTAGTTTCCAAAACGTCCAAGATGTTCAAATTCGAATTGCACGACAATCCAGTAGAATATACTGAAGAAGTTGCGGCTGCAGATGATTGACTGTCGAGGATCGGACCCTCTCCCACGCCGGCCGAGATCATGCTAATGAGGCCATTGGAATACCAAATATCGCAGACCCTCCGGAGAAAGTCTACCTATGATACTATGGAATTCCGCGTTGTATTCTAATGCCATGAGCTTTGTTGGGCCTTAACGGTTATTGTTGAAAACAAAGAGATAAGTGATTTTATGGGTTATTTTATCAACTAGGCAGTTTGTTTAGATATATTTAAATCGCTATGATGGGGGGTACAGTACTTTGGCGGCAGTTGATTTTGAATTTCGTATTATGCTTTTTCTAAATATAACTGAAATTTTGGTAAAATAATTTCGTCAGGGGTAGGATATACTACGAGTACATACAGTAATGAGTTGAAACCAGGGAAATAATTCTTTGCTAGAAAGAACATTGATGTAATGTTGATCCCGTGTTATTTGTGCTATAAGTCGTTTCAAAAGTAAGGTTTTCAAAGACGTTTTGGGATCTTTACAATAGAAGGGATTATCTTTAATACAATCTAGATACCAAAAGGTCATGAAAAACATTTGGATTGCATAGACAAATTGTTGCAAAAATAAATTGCATAGCTAAAAGAATTTCAGCATTTCAAACACCACTGAAAGAAATAACACTAGGAAACGATGATCAGTTAAAGTGGTAGTCATTTATTATTCAAAACATCTTCAACACTCCTATTGACAAAGATAGTTTAAACTTTTTCGTTTACTTGGAAAATCGTCAAATCTTCAACAATACAAAGCTTAAAATAAAGACTATAACATTTTACAAATTCAAACTAGTTTTCTCTTTTGGAACCTCTACGTGCATTGGCGATATATATCCGAAGAAGGAACGCAGAACCTTCATTTCCAGCTCCCTGCCTTCTACTTTTCACATTTTCAATGTAATCGGTCGTAATTCGACGCTCGTCGGCTCGGCGCCCCTCCCAGTGTCAGCAGCTACGGTGGTAATGAACAAGACTGTTCCAAGAACGTCTGTTATCTCGCACAACCAAAGAACACTAATGGTCAGTGGATGTCATCATCTGCATAAAGCACTGCCCTCCTCTTCATTAGACCAGGGATATTGTTCACTGCTATCACTGCATCACCACTTAATTAGCTGTTTACTAGTGGCCAGGTAAAAATTGCGCTTAATGATCCCGATTGCTCGGTGGCCCTGAGACGCATCTTGATTGAGGTCTGAAAAAAGGGATTTGAAATATTGCTGTGGGTGTTTTTGTTTGGTTGATACAAGTAGGGTTAAAGCTCCGGAATTTATGTATCCAAAGAGTTACTTTATTTCACTGGGCAAGAACCCAACTTTTCAAACAGGAAGGAAGCAAGTATTTGGAGTAAGCGAAGAACCGAATCTGTAAATAAACTGGAATATTAATGTATTTCATAAAATTTTGCTGTTTGAATTAGTAGGGGAAAGCAAAAAAGTTGTAATATAATGTGCATGTTGTTCTGAAGAATCAGCTAACTTGGCAAACGGTGTTACATTGTAAAATGTTCATAGTCATAGTACGCTATCGCTACGGCAGTCAGATCCACCTCTTACAATCTATGATAAAGGTTGATATTGATTAAAGTAGGTATTTTACAGTCAATATTTATCGTAGACATATGTTTCTCTTTTCTTTTCATTTAAAATTAAAACTTTGTCACTTTCCCGACTTTATCCTAATTAAATAGGAAAACATCAACAAAAAAACTTCGGACCCAGTTTACAGCCCTGTGGAACACCATTTATTTCATTTTTGCCACCACGATCATCCTATCCACCTTTCAGCTACATTTGATTCAATATTGAAAGTTTTTGATTTAATAATTGAACATGGTTTTGGTTTCAGGTGGTTCTAGTCCAGGGACACTACTTGTCGTTCCTTCCGCTATGTAGTCGCAACGAGCCCGTCTTCCTCGCCACCTGCACACCCGTCGCCATGCCGGAGACGAGGGAGTGCGTCGTCCAGGGAGCCACAAACGTGTTCACCTCCATCCACGCCATGGACATGAAGTTCGTCCACATCGATAAAAAGTGAGTGGTTTTAAAATACTCGTCTAATTTGAGAGGGAAAGGAGGTTGAGGGGTTCTTTTGTTTTTTTCTGCTTTTTAAAGAATTTTAGGATGTCCCTTAAGATAAGTAGCTATTACTACAGTCTAATGGTAAGACTTACGTTCGGAAACACTGTTCCTTTTTCAAGGTCCCCAAAAGGCGAAACCATGTTAGTTCAAATTTGTGTGTAGACAAGGATTCGTTAAAGATTGGGTGAATTACAAATACCCCCGCCGCAGCAAACCTGCAGACTAAGCGAATTTCCATTTGACTGATTGGATTTACACTGAAATGTCTACTTAAAAATATAACATTTATTCCCGATTTAAATAGAATTAGTTTAACAAGTACTTAGGTTTGCTGCATCAGGGAGGGTAAAACTGTTTTTTTTTTTGTAAAATGTTAATAGTTAGTAAGAAATAAAAACATTTTCCAAATTTGATCAAAATATGTTCATAAACAAGCAAACTACAACAGTTTACTCATTCTCCATAAGAATAACATGGGAATTTTAAATTTACAATTTTTTGGAATTTTCTCCGTAACCATTAGGCGCATAAGAACGCTTCAATATACTAAATTATTTGTTTTTTGAAGCTCTACAAAATGGTTTGGAAATAAATTGCTAAATTTTATGTTTTTTGGGTCAAAAATGGGAAAACCTATTTTTACCCCATAAAACCCCCCGTAAACACCCGTTCCCATGGTCCGATCATGCTGGATCGCGAACTCGTTCGAATAAACGTAGGTTTACACGTTTGTACCAAATTTCATCAAAATCGGATCATTTTTGCTCGAGTTATCTTGCTGACGGACACATATCTATATATATAAAAGGCAAAGCCCTCACTGACTGACTGACTGACTGACTGACTGACTGACTCACTCACTCACTCATCACTAATTCTCCCACTTCCCACTTACCTAAGAGGCTGAAATTTGGTACACTGATTCTTTAGGCATTAAATAGGAAAACTAAGTGGTTTTTATTCTGATCGGACTCTCGGGCTCCGCCCCAGTGGCTCTGGAGTTTCCCATGGTAACCTAATGAGTACTCATATTTAAATGGAATTAATGAATCATAACAGCTGTTTCAATTAAACAAGTTGGTTGTGTTCTATTATGTTCAATAGCATTAAAGTTACAAGGATTACCAACAGAGTGCAGCACTATTATTTTTTTAATATTTGACAACAGCTAATTTGAAACCAAAAGGTGAGTGAGCGTAGCGAACGAGCTAACCTGAAAGCAATTGAGCGCAGCGAACGAGCTCCAACCGTAAAGGTGAGTGAGCGTAGCGAACGAACTGCAACAAGACGTGTGAGCGCAGCGAACGAGCTCCAACCTAAAGGTGAGTGAGCGTAGCGAACGAACTTCAACCAGGACGTGATTGAGCCATGCGAACGAGCTCACATATGAAGTTAAACGGGGCAAAGCCCGCGGGTACAGCTAGTATATATATATATAAATATATAAATATATATATATATATATATGAATTTGAACGGATAGTGTTTTTGGCCTCTAGGGACCTCAAAACGAAAAAAAAAATCGGTCCCGCATCCAGGTCTTACCATGAGTACTACGGTAATAGCTTATTCCCTATATGGGAAATTCGCTAAAACCAGGGGCTAGTTTTTGTTAAAAACTCAAAACTTTTGAAACGTTTTATTCATCCAAACTCCACATATTTCCAAACACACAAAACAACAATCACACCGATCTAGAGCAAAGACCACCTCCAATTCTACTCCACCCTACAAAATCTTATTGAAAAACTGTTCTCCTCATACCCGGCAATCAGATCGCTTTCCAAACGCAACACAAGAGCGTGTATTTGCCCGACCGATTAGAAAGAACAAATAGAAGTGGAATGCGGTGAAATCAGGTGCGGAGCCGCCAGTAATGGCCGGTGTTCTCGGCACATCTAGATGAGGCTGCAATAACATAGCTCAGCCCTCGCTATTACAATTAATGTAGTAATAGGACAACGGCGTCCTATCTGCATCGATAGGGAGAGTGTTGGACCGTAACACCCTTCATATCTCCAGTCCAGTCTCCAGCCTCCAGCTGAATCTCCAGCGGCTCTAACGGGAGAGTTTACTGAAGATGGTAGAGTTCAGAGTTTCAACTATAATTGTCTGTACCAACTACGTAACATTTCCAATTTTTTAGTCCTCAACATAACTACTCGTCACCTGGTGGTCTAAAGACATTGAAGCGCCGTCTCGTGGCTTTCCCTTATAAAACCAAATCTTCCTATTCTATATCGTCTTCACTTGCTCTAAACATGCATTTGCGGTACCCGGTACCGATAACTTGAATGATGTATGACGAAATCGTTTTTACAAAGAAAAAAACTAGCAATGAGGTTCATTCCAAATCCGGTATGGAAAGAGTGCTTAACGGGATTGAAATCACCAAAAATCAGTTTATGGGTATTTTGCCAGTTTATATTGGGATCTTTGAAAACAAATCACCAACCAAACTTATGTTAAATTTTACGGCAATTGACCCTGTGTTTCATTTCCAGAAAATATATACATGTTTTTGTAAAATCAATCAATTTTTTGTATCAACAAAATCTATTCTATTGAGTGCCATGTGTTTAGGACTGGGCTTAAGTACAAGCAGTAATTCTTTTATGAGATTCCTGACAATTAAATTTCATTTTTCTACCTTAAGTTATGAGTTGACATTTACTCTTTTTGACCACGATGAAGCTTCTCATGAAATGCTAAATCGATCAACGATATCCATCAACATCCAGTTTAATCACACACTACACTGTAACGCAAGCTAAATACCCTTCATTACTTCATTTGTCTGTAAAACTCTCACGTTCGAGAATTCAGTTAATCTTCTAATTCAGTGAAGGGAGAAATTACTGATAACAACTGGTAAAGTCTGATAAATTGGCAATATTGGTTGGGATTTTGATCAATCGCCTTATTGACGTTAACTAGTGGTTCGGACCACATAACAAGTTGAAACATCCAATTACACTGCTGAACCAGTTCACCAGTTTCCCGAGACTTGCCGTATCCAGAATGATGAACGGTTAAGAAAACATTCCCAGCGTCAGAACAATATCCGAAGCTGGACTGTTTATTTGCTCTGACCCAACAAAGGTACGAGTGGACCAGACGGATCCTCATCTACATAATTTCATCTCTGACGGATAAAAACCCTTTCGGCCTTCGCCAGGTAAATCACCGGGAAGCGATGCCGTTCATCTTGTGGCCCTTTGGAAAACAAGTCATTAGCGATATCGGTCGACAGTTAATTTGATGCTTTACATTTCAAAAAATAAATTCTCGTTTGCATATGGAATTTGTTTCCAAAAGCTTCTCAATTGGCTCCTCAAAAAATCTCAAATGACGTATTACTGCTTTGTATTTCCTGTGTTAATTTCATATCATAGACAAAGTATAAAATCAGCACAACTTAAGTTCTCGGTTGTTTTTACTTTTACGGCCAAAAACACAGGTTATACCAAACTTGCTGAGTGGATTAAAATATTTGGGTTAGGATTATATTATGCTGCTTGTGTATTACATAAAAGGTTTTATTAAATGTTGGCTATTTCATGAAGTTCTTAAAAATATATAATTTAAATAATTGTGTAGTTTTATATTAACATAGAGAACCCTCCGTAATTAATATTTCTTTAATATTAGAAGAAGCTAATTAAGATTCTCCTAACGATTAAATTCGTTTCGACGTGTTAACTTGAATAATCATCATACCTGTTTTCAATGTGGACTTTGTTTTTATTTTTGACTGCATGGTTTTACCTTAAACTGCACGTAGGTTTTAGGTAACGTTTTTAAAATCATGTAAGCAAAAAACTCAAAAAACAGTAAAAAAATAAATTCTCATTTGAAGCTCATGATTATAAAACTGCAGCATCGTTCTATCCTTCTCAAAATAACATATTCAAGTGACAAACGGAGGCGTTCTATCCGAATCTACACAACCGTTTCTTGTTCCTATTCCCTGGAAGCCGTATAATCCATCAACATGAGTAATCCCCGGCGATCAGCGCCTAAAAGCCTGTAAATATGTAACGGTCCGGACAAACGCTGGAATTAACCAGTGGTGACATCCATTTGGAAGCATAAACGTCCCGATAACACCCGGCCCGAGTGGTCCGATAACGGGGGCTTTTAAACAAGCTGTTAGGCGACCCTGGGCTCTACTGACTCATTACAGCTTCAACAGGGTGTACTGGACCGAGGATTGTTGCGCGTTGTTTGGAATATTCGGCAAATGTTTGGAGGACATGAGGTTTCAGGACGAAATATGGGAGTAGTTTAAAATATTGGGGTTTTTGTAGGGCTAAATATGGGGTGTTAAGGTTTAAGACTAAATGTGGGTGTTTGGGTTTAGAACTAGATATGGGCACATGGGACGAAATTGGGGGCATTGGGTAAGAGCAATGTTTGGTAGTTATCAATTTATGAGAAAATATAAAAGGGTTTGGGATTTAAGGCAAAATATGAGGAATATTCAATGGTTCTTGGTAACGAAGCACACTTGCCTATAGAACTCCAGACCTTTTACTAGTCCACTGTCATAAAATTGAAACTAGCTGGAAAAACTCCCACGCACATAAATACTCACCCCTTAAACACTTCCTTTTGAGGTCAGCTTCGACAATAAAGTCAAGATTTAATAAACACAGCCAAGCGATACAACACCGCAGCACAATAGAGAACTGCATGCCTCGCATACGCACTCCACACACAATGTACCTATGGTAATTCTAGCACCTCTGAAATCGTTAATTTCGGATGTACAATTGAATTAGATAATAGAGATTATGATCACGACCCGAGCGGGAATTCCAGGAGCCGCAGGCATGTTGGGTAAGAATGATGAGTTGCTTGCCATTGTGGGTGATTCTGGGCGAGAAAAGCGCGTGGTCACACCTAGGTGATGGAAATACGTGTTTGGGATATTCAAAAGCTCTTTATAA